CAGTAAAGATATGGGTAAATACTGCCTTTGGAAGCAGGAGAGGTGACATATGTGTGGGTGTCTTCCGGATAACGTCAAGACATGGGATCACTCGGGTGTTTCAAGCGTAGGTTAGACATGTATATAAATGGATTTCTATGGATAAAAATAGAAACTGCCTCGTATGGGCTAGTATAGGCCTTCAGAAATCTCCTTAATTCCTATTTTGATGTTATTACGTTTCAATTGGTTGAAATAAAAGTTTTAACGAAACAAAACAAATTACATTTCCTCTTTGAGCGCCATCTTTTCTTAATCATGTGAATGTGCACGGCTTCACACGGGAAAATGATCACAAATTTTGACAAAATTAAATAAAATGTATCCCAATCAGCTCCTTGTAATGGAAAGGTCAGGAGTTAGTGGAGAGGTCACGAGATAGAGAGAAAGGTGACGAGCTAGTGGAAAGGTCACGAGATAGAGAGAAAGGTCACGAGCTAGTGGAAAGGTCACGAGATAGAGAGAAAGGTCACGAGTTAGTGGAAAGGTCATGAGATAGAGAGAAAGGTCACGAGATAGAGGGAAAGGTCACGAGATAGAGAGAAAGGTCACGAGATAGAGGGAAAGGTCACGAGATAGAGAGAAAGGTGACGAGTTAGTGGAAAGGTCATGAGATAGAGAGAAAGGTCACGCAGGCTTGCCGCCTCGTAACACGAGTCAGTGAATCACCTTGTTTCCAGGGCCTGAATGGGACCATTACAGTGGTACACACACATACCCAACACGAGACGGTTTTATCGACAGGTCAGTTGTGTGTATTTGATGGTGATTGTGCGATTGTATTTGTCTTGTCCTTTAGCTCCTGGGCCCCGGATTTTAGCCAACGGCGGCCGATGCTCTCTCGCATGCATCTTGATGCGCGTGTGCGTGCTCGCGCGTGTGTGTGCTCGCGCGTGCGTGTGACCACCTGGAAGGGTAAACACCACTAGGGCGTCAATCTTAAAATAATAGTTAGAGTTGCTTAAGAAAAGCAAGTGAAAGGCAGGAGCCATTAGCGTCCCTTCATCCTCCCTCCCCCCCTCTCACCCCTGGATCCATTCACAAGTCTTTTATTTATTGTTTTAAATTTATATATAAAAAATATTCTTTTGCAATTCACGGCTGGTCATTTGAGGCGCCTGCATTATGCCTAAGAAATTTACGAAAAAGATTCTAGTGCCAGGTTTAGACGAATTTTAATTTTTATCTAAAAAACAAAACAGAACAATCCGGGTCCTGAGAGAGGGAGAGAGAGAGAGAGAGAGGGAGTGGGGAGAGAGAGAGAGGGAGTGGGGAGAGAGGGAGGGGTGGAAGGACCGGTGTGACACAGGTGTCGATCCCTAGGGATGGTGTGACACGTCGAATGGCAATCCCTGCGGCCACAGACCTGTGTGTGTGTGTGTGTGTCGCTCAATACGTCTCCCTTGTCTGATCTTTCCCGTCCAGACAAGAATCAGAATCAACCCCTGATCGTCCGTACTGAAACGCACAGACTATATATATACTTTTCTGACTGTTAGTCGTGACTGTTACCATGACAGGTACTGCTGGATGCTGCCCCCCCCCCCCCCCGCCACACTAAAACTGTTCTTAAGCAGACGATGAGTTACAATCACGTGGCTGGAGATATGAGACAACACGACGACGTTTCGGTCCGTTTCTGCTGTATTATATCAGTCGTGTTGATAATGGGCCAGGACGAGACCGAAACGTCGTTGTTTCTGCATCGTCTGATGTGTGTATGTGTGTATGTTTGTGGTTTGGTCTCTCTCTCTCTCTCTCTCTCTCTCTCTTTCTCTCTCTCTCTCTCTCTCTCTCTCTCTCTCTCTCTCTCTCTCTCTCTCTCTCTCTCTCTCTCGCCCGTGCTCTCAACTAATAGGTCGCGTTTTTTACGTTATTCTCTCTGAATATTCACGTGTTCTATTGCATCGGTCCTGATAGGTTTGGTTAGGTTACATGGCGTCGAATGCTTCTTATTAAGCCAAAAAATTAGTTTTTTTTCCCGGAGTGGCAAATCAAGAGAACGGGCTGCCACCCTCGGCGAGTATTTACCGATAAGGAACGGCTATATCGGATAGATGTACCGGATATATGTACCGGATATATGTACCGGATAGATGTACCGGATACGCATGTCTATCGCATAAGACGAGTCTTGTGTCACATAGCAATTGCACATTTTATTGGAATGAATGACCCAAAACTTGTACGCCACATGTTGCAAGAATAGAAGACAGTCACGAAATATATAGATATTTTGCAGAATAAAACATAAAATTCAAGTTATTTTTTATTTAACAATATCTTGGTTCTGCTCCACGGAGACTTAATTTTTTTAATTTATATTGTACTCAAACATTTTACCAACATGAACTTTCGGACAGTCCACATGGTTAACTGACAGGAAGTAGCAATAGAGCTTCTAGAACTATTGCTAGGTCTGGCAGGCGTATTGGCGCTAAGCTAGAGTCTTAAGAAGAGCATCCGGCTAAGTGCATTCTAGCTACTGTGCCGGCTGGTCATATATTCCAGATCATTCCACATACTGGAAGCACTGAACTTACGAAAGAGTGATGTGTATAGTGTGAGTATCACCATACACATTTTCGAGACGGTTTGTATCACTCTATAACCGATTACGTAGCACTCATATGTATGCTTAACAACCGTTAATCTTCAAGAAGCTCCTCGTTAAGGACGGTAGCGCGTACCGAGGATGCTGCCACAGCATTTCCTCTCTAAATAGCAACATTGAGACGCTGAGAAGTGGAACTTGATTTCCTCGAGCATTTCACTTGCCCTAATGAGTCTATCGTCCATTTCACTGACGATCCTGACTGTACATTCACCCCCCCCCCCCCCCAGGAGCCGAGGGCCTCAGAATTTATTTGAACGTAGGACGTATTTATTTGGACGTAATTAGGAGCCTGATGCTTGCACTCAGCGCAGGTGTAAGTGCGTTAGCCAATGTGAATTCTCGTGCATTGTGAATTCTATTTTTTTTCCGAACAGACGTTTCGTAAATTTGGATCACACGCGGGTTTTCTGTCTGATTTTGCGACGTGATGTTTCATAAATGTGGATCACACGCTGGCTTTCAGTCCCCCGCGTCGGAATATTCATAGCTAATCTATGGAAATGTATTCTCGGCGATCTATACGCTAATCGCAGCTATAATGCCATTTCGTTGTATGCTGTTATAGGCAGCAGTAAGTTTCCTCATTATATATTCACACGGCATTACGTAGCGACAATACCGTCAGAAGGGGGGGGTGATCTGGGAAAGGTGGGAGGGAGAGTGACCAGGGATAGGTGAGAGAGGGAGGGGGGGTTGATCTGGGAGAGGAAGGAGGGTGTGTGATCTGGGAGAAGGAGGAGGAGGGAGTGATCTGGGAGAGGAAGGAGAGGGGGGGGATGATCTAGGAGAGGAAGAGAGGAAGGAGGGAGGGTAAAGAGGGAGAAAAGGGGAGGGGGGGGTGAAATGGGAGGGAAGGGAGGGAAGGATATGAATTTATACATGAAAAGTGAAGGTAGGAAAACATGATATGCTTGAGGAAGAGGAGGTAAAGGAGTTGGGTGATCGATCATTAAGTATAGAGCCAAAGAAGGAAAGAAAGAGGCAAGACAGGGTAAAGAAGGGATAGAAATAAAGAATAGGGAGTATGAATGGGAAGAGAAGGAGTATATTCCAATTGTTTCATCAGTCCTCCATTCTTTCAGTCACTTGAAGACAAATATCTTTCTTACCTCTCCATTTCTATATATTTATCCTTCCTCCTCTTCCTCTTCCTCTCTCCTCCTCCTGCCTTCGTTACCAGGAGGCACGAACCCAGGTATTCTGGACCTACACAACCCAGGCCGCGCACTGGCAATCGTTCCCAAGCTGAATAAAAAATAGAAACCGTTTGGGCTTTACCGTTGACGGGCAGCCGCCGCTGCTGCTGTCAGACGTGGAGTGGTTGTGGTGACTGGAGTGTTAGGAGACCATGGAGGGTGTTGGTAAAGGGGGGGGGATGAGAGGTGTATGGGGGTGTGTATGGGGGCCCAGATTCTCGCCACAGCTATGGTACTCACCCCCATGATACTTCCTGCTGGTGGAATGCAATTCAGAGTGTTAATCAAGCCGTAATATCCCTGCGTTTATAGGCTACATAGAATTGGAATGGCCGAGAAATAGGCATTAGTCAGCGTCGGTGTTTACGGGATAATGAGACGAGGGGAACGGTGCAGTGAATGATGGTTGGGGGCGGTCACGCAGGTGGTCGTGGCCAAGCACACGCAGGAGGTGGCGGCCAAGCACACGCAGGAGGTGGCGGCCAAGCACACGCAGGAGGTGGCGGCCAAGCACACGCAGCAGCAGGAGGTGGTGGCCACCTGGAAGCCTCGCAACCATCTGTTTGCTGCTCGTTTGCTAGGACGGGTTGTGTTACGACCCGGAGCGGCCAGTAATTTCCGCGGCGGAAGTGTGTGTGTGTTGATCATTGCCCTGCGCTCTCTCTCTCTCTCTCTCTCTCTCTCTCTCTCTCTCTCTCTCTCTCTCTCTCTCTCTCTCTCTCTCTCTCTCTCTCTCTCTCTCTCTCTCTCTCTCTCTCTATCATTATAGCTAGTCGTATATATGAATTTCTGTCTGTGTCATGTATCTTTCTCTGTCTTTTATCTTCTCCGTGTTTTCGTCCCTTTATCTCCCTCTTTTTCTTCAGTTCGTTATTGCGGTGACTGAGATTTTTCTCTCTCAGTCACTTAATGAAGAAATCTTGCCTAATTAGCGTCGTAATCCGTCAACTTTTCTTTCCATACCCCTTTTTTTCTAATCATAATTTCAAAAGAGGGTCGGTTTCCTGTGGACGAGCGTCTCGTCTCGAACACGGTCGAGACGAGATGATTCATCATGAATGATTCATCATGAATGATTTATCATGAATGCCTTCCTGATTCATCATGCAGTATCTAAGTACTAAAAATGTAGCTACTTAAAATGTAGTTTATGTCACCAACCTTCCAGGACGATCCTGGAAGGTTGGGGACGATCCTGGAAGGTTGGGGACGATCCTGGAAGGTTGGGGGCGATCCTGGAAGGTTGGGGACGATCCTGGAAGGTTGGGGACGATCCTGGAAGGTTGGGGACGATCCTGGAAGGTTGGGGACGATCCTGGAAGGTTGGGGACGAGCCTGGAAGGTTGGGGACGAGCCTGGAAGGTTGGGGACGATCCTGGAAGGTTGGGGACGATCCTGGAAGGTTGGGGGCGATCCTGGAAGGTTGGGGGCGATCCTGGAAGGTTGGGGACGATCCTGGAAGGTTGGGGGCGATCCTGGAAAGTTGGGGGCGATCCTGGAAGGTTGGGGACGATCCTGGAAGGTTGGGGACGATCCTGGAAGGTTGGAGGCGATCCTGGAAGGTTGGGGACGATCCTGGAAGGTTGGGGACGATCCTGGAAGGTTGGGGACGATCCTGGAAGGTTGGGGACGATCCTGAAAGGTTGGGGACGATCCTGTACGTTGGGGACGATCCTATAAGGTTTGGAACGATCCTGAAGGAGGTGTAAGGTAGGATCCTGGTGGGGTGGCGGGAAGGGCTGGTGAGGATACAGGGGGGAAGGGGCTGTACTGGGAGTGTGTGGGGAATGGCAGGGACGAAGGAGAGAGTCAGTGTTGGTCTGGACGTCGGAGGTGACGGAGCGGCAACAGGCTGCTGCTGCTGCTGCTGCTGCTGCTGTAACAGAGGTTCCCGCCATGTGGACTGGCTGCACCGAGGGGAGTCAGTCACGCCTCTGCCGTCGTCCGCTCTGCGTCGCCGCGCTGCTCCGGTGAACACTTGTGAATGCTACAAGCAGCAGAAGCTTGCAATGAAATACTCTGACGAGAGGCGGTTCTGCGGCCTGTCGAGGACTCTGATATCCCAAGGCTGAGACGTGCATTCTGTTGACGATGTTAGGACATTCTTACCTGGCCCAGGAATATGACTCCTCACTCTGGGGATTATCGATGAGGACTGGCCAGCTCTACTGAGCAGTGATATATGACAATGTCAACGCAATCTGCCCCACGGCGAGGCACATACGGGTGTTCCACCTGTTTACTCTAACGTGAAGACCGACCTAAGGTGAGTCGTGGTTGAATAACCAACCGTAGAATTCTCTTCTCAGGAATAAGGGTAACTTAGAGATAATCTTGTAACTTGCTACTCAATAAGTTCAGCCTGGCCTAAGTTGTTGTAGGGAGGTGTGAGACAGGACCTACACGGCCCCTTGTATGTAACAAACGGTGAAACAAAACACAAGAGGATTAACACCTAGTTAGCACCTAGTTAGCACCTAGTTAAACACAAGCTAACCTAGTTAAACTAGTTAAACCTAGTTAAACACAGCTAACACCTAGTTAAACACAGCTAACACCTAGTTAAACACAAGACAAAGTTAGAGAAGATTCAGCGGTATGCCACCAGGCTCATCCCGGAACTAAGAGGATTGAGCTACGAGGAAAGGCTAAAGGAGCTGAACCTCACATCCCTGGAAAACAGAAGAGTAAGGGGAGACATGATAACCACCTACAAAATTCTCAGGGGAATTGACAGGGTGGACAAAGACAAACTCTTCAGCACGGGTGGGACACGAACAAGGGGACACAGGTGGAAACTTAGTACCCAGATGAGCCACAGAGACGTTAGAAAGAATTTTTTCAGTGTCAGAGTAGTTAATAAATGGAATGCATTAGGCAGTGATGTGGTGGAGGCTGACTCCACACACAGTTTCAAATGTAGATATGATAGAGCCCAGTAGGCTCAGGAATCTGTACACCAGTTGATTGACAGTTGAGAGGCGGGACCAAAGAGCCAAAGCTCAACCCCCGCAAGCACAATTAGGTGAGTACAATTAGGTGAGTACCTAATTAACACCTATAATTTTCGCGGCGAATTATGTTAAACTCGTGAAAATTAGCATAATATATATCATAATTTTAGCTACTTATTGGATCTCAGTCAAAGGAGATTATTTAATTTTCACATCATTGCAGGGGAGAAACTGAATGATAAGTTTCAATTGAACACGAGTTATAACAAGCTGGCATTGAACTCTAACTTTGACAGAAAAAAAACTTAATACTATGTGGGACTTGAGTTGACATCAATTACGATGTAGTATGACTTTCACTCGAGTGACTAGGATCACTCTAGGGTGATGATAAGGATTAATTTAGAGTGCGTTTGCTGACCAGGATTACTCTTAGAGTCCTCTGCCAGGGATTATTTTAGAGCTCGTTACGTGACAGGGGTTATTCTAGAGTGCGTCCACTGACAGGAATTACCGAGTGCGTTCTCCGACAGAGATAAATGAGTGCGTTTTTTAACTAGGATTTCTTTAGGGCGAGTTCTCTGACAGGGATTACCTCTGAGAAGTGCGACTTCGCGTCTATGTACAAGGATTTCTCTTAAGAGTCAATATTATCGAAAATATTACTCTAGATTAAATCCACTAACAATTGTAACCTTAGAGCGCGTTTTCTAGAAAGGATTTCTGTAGAACGCGAGAGAGAATCCGTTTCTGTTGAGAGGATTCCACTAGAGTACAAACTGGATTCTATACAGTTTTCACAAATGTTACCTGGAATACAATTGTTATAAAAAAAATAAAAAATATTTTACTTGTATTTTTAGGGGGTCTAATCAGTTGATAAACTAATTAATTGCTTAATTATTTAAGTGATTGGCTAATTCAATCGTTGCTCAGCAGCAAACTGGATTTGGTTATAATTGAATTTAGTATATGTATATTCAAGCCTGCTTGATGTTGTTCATTGTTGTTGTTGTTCATTGTTGTTCATGTTGTTCATGTTGTTCATGTTGTTCATTGTTGATGTTGTTCATTGTTCAATGTTGTTCATTGATTTAATTGTTTTTCATATAATTGAGGAAGGGAAATTTGTTTCACAAAATTCAACTTTTTTTAAACAACAAAGAGGATGCGACTCCTCCTTTAGTCACTGTAGCCAAACCAGTTTAGATTTGTAAATCTGACTTAATACAGCTACAATACAATACAGTTACAATACAATTACAACGCAATGCAATCACAGTAACATAATACAGTAACAATAACGCGGATATAAGCAAGTAACACATGAAGTGAAAGTGATGGTGTCAATGCTGTCTTGGACCAATAGCAGTAAATAGGTACCTGGGAGTTAGACAGCTGCTACAGACTGCTTCCTGGGGGTGTGTAACAAAAAGGAGGCCTGGTCGAGGACCGGGCCGCGGGGACGCTAAGCCCCGAAATCATCTCAAGATAACCTCAAGATAACCGCTAGGAAGTGGTGACGACGCAAGAGTGGGAGAGGGAGATAGTATAAGGGAAGGGGGAGAGGCACGAGTGATGGGAAAGGAGGTGATGGGGTAAGGAAAAGGAATTATGGAAGTCGGTCGGCCGAGGGGATAGCACGCTGGACTTGTGATCCTGTGGTCCCGGGTTCGATCCCGGGCGCCGGCGAGAAACAATGGGCAGAGTTTCTTTCACCCTATGCTCCTGTTACCTAGCAGTAAATAGGTACCTGGGTGTTAGTCAGCTGTCACGGGCTGCTTCCTGGGGTGGAGGCCTGGTCGAGGACCGGGCCGCGGGGACACTAAAGCCCCGAAATCATCTCAAGATAACCTCAAGATAACCTGCATATAAGGTCGACTGGCGCCATACAATATTAATTCCCCCATATTTCAGGGCATTTCACCTACGTTAATTAGTAAAGTGTAAAATTAATCCTGCACATTGCACATGGTCTGAAAGTGTTGCATATGATGCATGTGCTCTTGTCACGTTGCAGTGCCATCTCACAGCATTGGCTCAAACACTGTTCACTGTTATCATTATGCTAGTAGTGATTTAACAATCATTTCTAAGTTCATTTTGGTGTCGGCTGCAACAACTTATTTACGACAAAATCGTATGATACTTGATATTATTTTTTTGCCTCCTTATAAACGATCGCTGGTGAAGTGGTTATGGTACTCTGTACGCCAGAGAGTGATTCCCTACGACGGAGGTTCGAGCCCTGGCCGGGTCATAGAGTTCTTAGGTGATATTTGTATGTTTTGCCCGTTATTAGGACGTTTTCACGACAGTAACGCATATATGACGTTTTCATATATGATGTTTTCGTATATGACGAAAACGTTTTCATATATGAAAACGTTTTCATATATGACGTTTTCACGACAATAACGCAAGAACCGGCCACCTTACCTTATTCGTCAACGACCCTCCAGTAAATACACAGCGTTATTTTAACTATGCATGCGTTATGAGGACGTTTTAACAAGGCAGTAATGATTAAAATAGCTATATGGACTACCTCAGTAGCACACGAAGGTTCGGAATGCATCCAGAATTAGAATGCTGGTCGGATCTACCATGCAGGCATTCCAAGTTGTTCACTGCCTTGCAATCTTGCAAGTTCTTGGTGCTCGAGCAATTTCTTAACAGCCTCAAGTTGCACAAGAACAAGATAATATATACTTGATCAGTCCGTTGAACTGCATGAGAATTATATATATCTTAACTAGACCCCCTCCTCCCCTACACAACTTCCTTACTGGACCCCCCACCCCACACTTACCTTACTGGACCCCCACAGTTCCCTTACTGGACCCCACACAAGTCCTGGACCCCACAGTTCCCTTACTGGACCCCTCCTACACTTCCCTTACTGGGCCCCACAGTTCCCTTACTGGACCCCACAGTTCCCTTACTGGACCCCCCTACACTTTCCTTGCTGGACCCCACAGTTCCTTTACTGGACCCCACAGTTCCCTTACTGGACCCCACAGTTCCCTTACTGAACCCCACAGTTCCTTTACTGGACCCCACAGTTCCCTTACTGGACCCCCCTACACTTACCTTGCTGGACCCCACAGTTCCCTTACTGGACCCCTCCTACACTTACCTTACTGGACCCCCACAGTTCCCTTACTGGACCCCACACAAGTCCTGGACCCCACGCTACTCCTGCTGCACCCCATATTATCCCCCTCCCCCTCCCCTCTTATGAATCTCCGAATAGCCCATTAATCTACCATTATCTCAGACTACTAAATATACTAAAGGGTGAACAGCTCCCATGTTCAACAGGATGAACAGTTATGTGTAACCTGTACATGATGAACAGATACAGTGTACTACACTATGAACAACTCATAAGTACTACAGGACTAACAGCTCCCATATAGATGACGAACCCTCCTGGATCTGAAATAAAAATTGGAAAAACAGATTAAATATTTGTAAATACTTTCAAGAATAGGTTAGAAATTGTATAATGGGAAACTCATATAAAATGGGGAAAAGGAGGTGGCGGGGGTATGGTGATAATTGGGGGATTATAAATATAAATAGGGGTTAGCTGTTAATTTGGTGGTAATTGTAAATGGTAAATATTAATTAATAGGGTGATTAATATTAATAGGGTGTAATAAATGTTAATGGGGGGGGTGAAGGAATCATGTTAATGGTGATAAATGCTTAATGGGGAGAATATTAATCAATGTTCTAGAGGGTGAAAATGATTAATGGGTAAGTTAAATATTAAGATGATTATAAACTCTAATGGGATAATAACATCTGAATGGGTTAACGTACATGATATGTATTGATCTTATTATTCATTTCCTCTCTCTCTCTCTCTCTCTCTCTCTCTCTCTCTCTCTCTCTCTCTCTCTCTCTCTCTCTCTCTCTCTCTCTCTCTCTCTCTC